GCACCTCTTAAAGCGTTTCTCTTTTAACAAGAAAGTGAAAGGTAAAAACGACGCAAATAAGAGATTTTCAATCCTTTGATGAGAGTTTTATAACAATACTTTGTCGTCTAAGTAGTAATCGAGAAAGTATGCAATATTTATTGTCGTACTTGTATCTAGTCTATATTAATATTATAAAGAGGTAAAGTTTGTGGGTTTGTGACGTTGTAGGGATAATCTCTGCATCTACTGAACCGATTTTGATGAAATTTGGTAAGAAGATAGTTTGAGACCCTGGGAAGGACAGAAGGTAGTTTTTATCCCAGAAATCATTCTTTAAAGGGAATAAAATTAAACTTAAATTTGGGAAGTAAGTTTGTATGGGGAAGCAATCTAGGGACAAACCCGAGCGAAATAAGGGTGAGTCGCTAGTTTATAATATTTTTAACGTATTTAGAATTCCAAATATAACAATATGTAAACATGGTTTCAAATACCTGATTTGAAACCATGATTTATATAGTGTGATTGGCATTCACAAACTTAGACTAAAGCGTAGCATTCTCTGCACAAACTCTACTCAGATGCGACCAGACGACGACAGACGACAGACCCTTTAGTCGAAAGCTCAAAGACTCGGGCTTCTCACGTACCTACATTTTTGTAGGTGCCACACATATCGTTGCATCCATACGCGACGTGGCGTTGCGATCATTAATCTGGCTAATCTGGATTCTGGATTATTCTGCATGTATCAAAATATCAAAGTTTTTGTAGAAACATTTGTATTAAGTTCTAATTAACTTTGTGAAAGTTACTCCCCGAATAATGTAATTAATACCTACGTGCTTTTAGGACAAGCTGGGATTTCCTCAACTAATTTAAAACTTCCTTGATCGAAGCGCGGGTTCTGTACGTCGGCGTGGTTTAGAGTCACATTCTTATTGGTACAAACTTGTATTAAATTGTTAGTTTGTCGACAAACTATTTCTATTGATTTTAAATAGTGTTATATAATAATGTATGTACTTATTATTACTACTATTTATTTCATAGTATAAAATTAAAAATTATAAAAAAATCCCTACACAAATTAATTGTCATTTAACGATGACACTGGCACGCGTGAAGCACTTAATCGAGTAATCATATGCCAAAATGCCTTACATGATTTTGGAAAAGAGCTGATACTTTTACACTGCTGGACCGATATTAACCAAACATTGCTAAGAACCACCGCAAGGAAACTGGCTTTCAATTGAAAAAACTGCATTGAAATCGGTCCATCCGTTTGAGAGCTACGATGCCACAGACAGACACACACACACACACAAACAGACAGACATCGACGACAAACTTATAACACCCCTCTTTTTGCGTCGGGGGTTTAAAATAAAATTATAGCTATTACTCAACTGCTATTTGCAATTCGAAGTTTTTTCACTTGTTATTTTGTATTAAGGGATTTTAGCTTGAAAGTCATCTATCTATACGTACAATTAAATTCTAACAGAGTCGAATCTGTATATTAAATATTTTTTTGGAAAATCTTATTGAAATAGTCATTATTAATTATTATCGATACAGAGGCCGAATCTATAGTTTTTAGAATTTTTGTCTGTCTGTCATCCGTTTGGGAATGCATCACGAGAAAACCACTGGACAGATTTTGATGAAATTGGTATGAAAATAACCGTTTATTCGGGCCAAAATATATGATACTTTTTACTGTGGGAAAGCAATATTATAATGTGGTTGAAAACTATTTAGAACTCTTATATTGACATTTATATAAAATCGATCCAGTAGCATTAGATGTTATATGTCTTCCGTAATTGTAAAGTTAACAAAAAATTAACATTTTTCGAAAATTAAGTTCATAGGTACAATTGCACTGGATAGTTTGAAAAAATTATTTTGTATTAAATACTCTCAACTGTTTCCTACTGGACGTAATTTGCACATAAATATTTTTCATTACCATTTTCCTTATTACATACATAGCACATATAAAATGAGGTGATATTTTCAGCAAAAAAATTTTTGCCAGCACCAAAGTAGATAAGCACTTGTTTACTCAGGATTACTTTCATGGAAGATGGATAATGTCCATCTATCATTTTCTTTTGCTTTTGCTTCCCGTTAATAAATGTCGTCGTAAATAGACGACACAGCTTACTGTAATTTTGCGTGGAAGCTGCGGTGCACTTACAAAAACGTCTAAAACGAGTTGGATTCGTGTGAAGGGTTCTGTACCCATTATGGTAATTTAACTGTCTCGGTGGTGTAGTGGCTAGCATGTACGGTTGCACACTCGGAGGTCCTGCGTTCGAGTCCCGGGTCGGGCCAAGTTTAGTTATTGAGTCTTTCTATATAGTAAGTCTCAGTAACAGCCCGGAGTTGGGAAGTTGGCGGTGTTTCACCCCCGGGCCTCGGAGAGCACGTAAAGCCGTCGGTCCTGCGCCTTAACTCTCTCTCACCGGTCGTGTCGAGTAGTCGTCCCACCGGAGTATGAGAGTGACAGGAATAGAGAGTGCACTTGTGTCCGCGCGGACACTTTTGCACTATAATATCTCCTGGCTAGTCTCAATGAGATTGGCCGGAATCGGCCAGGAGAACATCATCATGGTAATTTAAGGAATAACGACTTTGTTTTATTTTTATTATAAAAATTATGATTGGATTGTGACGGTGTATCCGGGATATAGGGATAAAGCCGAAGTTTATTATTAAATCGATTAATATTTTTTTTAAATAAACATACACATGATTTGCACAGACAACTAACAGTGATCCTATAAGATTCCTAGGCTTTTTAGAGTGGATAAATACGTAACTATAGGAAGTACTTTTTTTGTATTACTTTTATAAATAGAAGGTATAATTGCGAACATATTAGAGAAACATTTTTAAGGTTTTGCAAATAAGTTACGCCACAACTGTAACTAAAGGTGCTTAGTTGATGAAGTTTTGTAGTACGATAATATGATTTAATTTGTAAAATAAAAAGACCCGTGAAAGCGGTCTTTGAAAGCTTTTAAAATATTATTCTATTATATTAATTGCTGCTGCTTTAGCTTTTAACGAAAACAAAATTTACATGGGGACTCAAACTTTTCCAGGGCTTTTTACAGTGGCTTTTTTGTATAAAAAACTATGCTTATGTCATTTTAAGTCATATTTCTTGGAACAACAGAAGTAAAATGATAAAAGTATGAGTAAAGAGCGTTGCTAAGCGAAACAAAGGCGAGTGACTTAAGTATTCGCTCTTTAACATGTTTTTGTTTAGGACGTTTAGACGCGTTCAGCGATACAATGCCTGGTCATTATTTACAAGATGTTTTTACAAAGTCCAAGTATGTTTTAGTATGTTTACATTGCTTTGTACAGTGTCTATTTAAGATTTGTAACAACTTATGATATTATAATAGTAGGTAATAGTTTGCTTAACAATCGTATAAAATCTATCTTTTAAATTGTATTTTACTAGGGGGCCACATTTAAGATGTAAAATGCTAGCTACATTTCAAAGCTAAAATTACTAATAATTTGTAAAAAAGTTTTCCGATACCGGGAATCGAACCCGAGCCTCCTGGGTGAGAGCCAGGTATCCTAGCCACTAGACCATATCGGATGATACACTTATAACATAAAGTAAGTTTGGTTACGAATAATATATTATGAGTCAACAGAATCAAAAAGAAAGTTTATTTTTAAATTTTCTTAAATTAATCTATGCTTAGCTTGTGTTTTTTTATTTATATATGATATTTTTAGATATATAACTGTCCTTTCGCCTCCTAATAATGTCGGCAATAAAAATCAATATCTTCTTTTAATTTAAATTTATTTATTGAGGTTTAGATAAGGTAGAAAACTAAACCGCTACATAGAATAAAGGTAGCAAATAGCTTTATGACTAGAACGTCAAGACCTTGGCTCATCTTACGTTTTTAATATTCAGAATTATATTATTATCATAAGTCTCCTGAATTAGAATACGATGCCGTGATGAATAGAATTTCATCGTAATTTATTAACGCTCAGTTCATGTTCAAATATATTCTAGAATCTACCTTGTATTACCCTCCTTAGAGAATTGTACTCCAATTTCGACAGGTAATGGCTTTGTTCAATATATATTTTATTATAGGCATTATTTTGTACCATTTAATTTCAATGTTTATTTTTTAGAAAAATGAATTATCGGTTATGCCATTAGACGAGAGATATTGGTTTACTCATTCCCTTATTTTAAGAGATATCCACTCATTCAATATTTTTGGATAATACGTATTTACCCACGGTAAGTTTCGTCTACGTGTTATTAGTAAAAATCTACTTTGACGCTTGTGCTTGTAGCATAAATATGTACTAGATAATACTAAATAAGAAATAATGCTATTCTCCTTTAGTCTTCACGAATTATTCAATGTCAGAACTTTCCAAGTCTATTGTTAGCCGTTCTGGTTTAAATTAAATAGTTGGTATTAGATTTAATTTTATGAATGATATTTTTAATTGTCAAAAGAAATACTAAAAAAACTAGTTATGTCCTCCGGAATTTCCAGTTTGATTATTTTTTTTTAAATTTTATTTTGCTATAAAAACATTATTTTGTTTTTACAGATAGTTTTGGTATTTTTATTTTTTACTAAATAGTAGGTATATTGCTTTATAAATAATTTAAACTTTATTTGCATTGTAAATATTTCTAATTTCATCTTCATTTTCATAAATAAAACAGCTGATAAATAATATAGGTTGAGTGAATTGTACTAACTAAATGACTTGAATTGACTTCTTCTTTGTCCTCGCCTTATCCCGTTACACGGGGTCAGCTTTCCTTATCATATGACGCCACGTAGATCGTGTGTTCGCGTCCTCATCGGTGAGGCCGAGGCATTTTAAGTCCCTCTGGACAGTTGTCATCCAAGTAGCTTGGGGTCTTCCCCTGCCCCTCTTTCTTGTTGCAATGGAAAGGCACTTTTTCACCACGTAATCGTTGGGCCTACGCATTACGTACCGTAGTATATGAGTTTAAAGCCCTTCCCGATTTGTCGTGATTTTGCACCCTTCCATTTTGTCTCTTGCACACAACAGATGTTGATGCGACGTCGTTCTAAGATGGCGCTTAATTCAGCGCTGCGTCCTGTCATCGTGCCAATGTTCCAGCTAGCAATACGTAGTTCGGACATTGTCACGGTGCCTTGCTGTTTTGCCCTTCCGTCGCTTTTGGGGGACGCCCTAGCATATTTCGCAGTTCCATCATCTCCGACGTCGCTTAAGGGGAACGCCCTAGTATTCCTCGTGTTCCTTACGTATTGTCTTTTCATGATAAGTATGGTTGTTGGCTTCTGTTTTACAGCCGGTTGCCACCTGACGCCAAGGATGTAACCCACTACGGGGCTTAGGCGCCGCCGTTGGTCCGCTAGGAACTCATCCGCCGCCATCCCTACCGAGTACTCCATCCTGAGCACCCAGCACGCACGTAGTCTCTACTTCGAGTATGTCGAAGAAGCCTGCGTGTGGGGTTTGATAACGGAGAATCCATCTCCGGCCTTGTGGTCCGCGGGAGGTATTTTATTTCCCTCCTACCCTATGGAGGATTGACCCCCATCGGGCATCCCCCTATCCGCCACCTGGGGACGCGTCCTCTAGGGAATCAGGCTACCCCGAGGATTGAATTGACAAACTTTAAAATTTAAATTATATTATATGGCAATATATTTACTGTTTACTTTCTTGAATGTTATTTTAATGAGAAAAGTTTTAACAAGATTTTAGAAGACATTTGTAAACGTTGTTTTAAGACTAAAACTTTTTCGTTATCTTTTTAGATTCAATAAATAATAAATCTTATCAATTTTAGAAAAAAATAAAAAATGTAAGGTATACTTTTATCGCTCAGTAATAAACGTAGGTAATTAGCGGTACTTCACGGCTTACAGAACTGTAGTAATTAGTATACATTTCTAGCATAGATTCATAGCGTATTTTTGCTGTAAGTCAAATAAAACTAAATAACGTATATTTACTGTAATCAAATAAATGAGAAAATAAAAAACGAAAATTTCTTATGATATTAAATGAAAAATTCTTGTATATATATAAGCATATCATTGCATTTGAAATTTGGTAAGAAGATAGTTTGAGACCCTGGGAAGGACATAGGATACTTTTTATACAGGAAATTAATCCCTAAGTGGATGAAAGTTTGTATTGGGAAGCAGGCTATGGTCGAAACCGAGCGAAGCGAGGGTGAGTCGCTAGTAGTAAATAATTGAATGTTATTCTTCACTGGTTTCGAATGAGATAGTATAAATCCACTCAGATAGTAGTACTGTTGAAGTACTGGTGAATTTCTACTAATATATGGATATAGTGAATTCAGCGGAAAATGGAAAGCAGTAGTGATTGATGTACGTCGTAATGGGACTGACTATCAGAGTGACTTTGCTTACTAAACCTCTACAGGCCACGATTACTCCCTGGGGTGAATCTTTAAACTAACCATATATTTTAGTCTGGTCACATTTAGAGGCCTCTTCATATTAGCCGAAGTTCGATGCTAGCATATTTAATGAACTCTAACTTGGAAATACTATTATAAGTGCGTGAATGCGTGCGTGCTTCACGCTGAAATGGGTTTCGAATTTAGTATACGGATTGATTATGTCCTGAAAACAGCCTACTCTTAGGCACCTAAGAACTTACCAGAACGAAGGGGGGGGGGGGGAGTCGCTAGTTATTAGTATAATTATTAATTTAAGAACGTAAAAATATTAAAGTGATCACTAATGCTCGATTTCACCAACGTCACCTTAGCTTAAGTGATCCCCTAAGCATGGTTAGGGGGCTATTAGGGGACAGTTTCTTCTTTGTTTATTCTTCCGACAGTTAAGGGTCACCTAAATATTAAAAGGCCCCCTAAATTTAGGTGCTCGAAATATGGGCTTAAAGACGATCGTAAAACGAAATTTAATTTAGGGGCTAGTTTAGGGGACTTTTAAGCTAGGGATCCCATACGTAGGTGGTAGCTTATGGGTTGTTGGTGAAATCAAGCATAAGTCTATTAAATATGTAGCTTAAAATATAAAGACTTCGTTCAATCTTCGAAGTGTATGTTAAACAAAAAATATAAATAATTCAGTTGAAATGTTGAAACGTTAAGTTGGAGAAGAATTATTCAGACGTTCGTTTCAAAATACATTCGCGTTCCACGTGAGCAATAGAGCTAAAGCTTTCCTTTTGTAGGAATATACAGTGTTGTATTTTCTCAATATATGAGAATATTTTTTAGAAAGAATTATAATGTAGATATGAAAATCTTCATTGAGTCGTAGTTAAGGAGAAAAAATATCTTAGATTTTTACCGTAAGAAGTAAGATGTTGTTAAATCTTTCTTATTTAGTTTTACAGCTTAGCTTTTTGTTATTAGACAGTAAGTCCCCCACAATCCACACTGTAAGGGATTCATGTCATCTGTATATTATATGTAATCTATCAATTATAAATTGCTTTGAAAAGTCAAAAGAATAAGAAACATGTAGGAACTCTTAAAAACTATGAAGTGTGAACTCTCTGCATAGTGCAAAATTATGTTAGTTATTTACATATTCATTGTTAAAGTTTCTTAAAAGGCCACTAAAATACTACTGTAAATTGCCAAAACGTAGCATAATTTGGTGGATATTATACACTTTTAAACACTACCACGATGGCTTAAAACCCCTTTTAAAGCTTTGTACAATGTACAACTTTCCGTGTGAATAATTGTGGATTAAATTGATGGTACTAAAATTATAGTATTGTCCTATCTCTATTTATTTTATTTCAATATTTAGTCGTCCTTTTTAAACCGCTTAACACTGCAGGTAGTTGTATATGTTAGAATTGCTAAAATTGTCATCAAAACTCATCTTTATCTACCAATAGTTGGAGATCCCGATATACGAGTACGTGGTGGACCCCTCACACATTTTTGCTTTTTTTACTGAATTGGTGGTAAAATCTTTTACAAGATCAAAGCGAACATATATCTATCTATTGCTCATATAAAAGTTAACATTTAGCTTAAATTATACCTATTTGCGATTTTACCACTTAAACTAAAATATGATTTTACCACTTTAAATATTACCCATCAAAAATCCAAAGCTATGGCTTTGTTACGACTATGCGGCTTGTATTGTGTTTTAAATTTTTAAGTTAAATAATAAAACTCACAACAGCTGAGATCGTAAATTTTTTCATGTTTTTATATTCTTTTCGGGGAAAATCGCTATAAACTTTGGCCTCTTTTACAAAAACATGTTGGTTTGAAAATATAGATAGATAAGATATTTAGACATTTGGGCGCTAGGTCCTTTAATATTTCACTTTAAATAAAGTATAATTTTTATTTTTATACATAAAGTGGACTTATATTAAAAATAATATTGGGTAGTACTTTATGTATTTTTATAAAATCCGCGCAAGTTTTTTTTTTAAATGTAGGTACATAGTTGGAATTTTATTTTAAATCCAATTATCTAGCGTAAAAGTTTTTAATAACTAGTAATACTAATAGTACTAAATAATAATATAAATATAGTTAATTTTGTTAGTTTGGACTTTTAATTTAAATTAATAAGATAAACATAGCCTTAAGAGTATGCAAAGAATACGGTTACAGTCGCCGAAAACCAAACTTTGAAGACATCGTCTTTTACGTCTGGCAAGAGATATAAGCGGTAATATACACAATATGTTACTACTTAATTCTACAAACGAAAAAATAATAAATAAATAGTTTGATTATTTAAGAATGAGCTATATTAAAGTCAATAAAATTCGACTCGATTTACAAAACATCCTAGGCTACGCGGGAACAATTTGATAGATTCGATGTAATTGGGGTTTGGTTAGTAGTAAGTAGTAGTATATATACTGCTTTAAGTTTGTACTATTCCACTGATAAATGTCCTAAAAATATTGATACAAACACATAGTAAAGAAAAAGAAACAAAAAAAAACAAAAATTAGAACAGTCGGTGATCGATGACACAGATTTGCCCTTAATTAAATGAAATCATTTACTATTTAGAATTCACCTCGGCCACTAGCGATATAAAGTTGATACTACCAATTGGCCATATTATTTATTGGTTTAAAATAAAGAAATACTCTTTATCTTGAGCTTTCGATTGTTATACATAATATGATAGTTTCTGGCTTGTGATACCTATTTTTAACAAACAATGAGGTAAAATTATGTTTTAGTGTTAAAATATTAGTTCGGAAAATATATTTCTTTATATTTATAGAATAATATTGTTACATACATATTTGCTTAGTAAATGGCTATTGTGTAACTTTTGAAGTGTATAGCTGCAGATTAGTAAAGTCTAGTCCATTTGTATCATTAAGGCTTGTTGGCAGCGAGCCACATGATCTGACAAAGCTGACCTGTATCAAAGGTTATCTCTACTTTGAACTTTTTAGTGCATTACCATAATCTCTCACACAATTCAGATGCCAAGTTTAAAACTTTAATTAATTGATTCAGATCATAAATTACTGTGGAAAGTCAAAGTAACTTTTACTAATTTTAGTGCTTTTATTAATTTTCTTTGTTAATGAAAGAAAGACCTACCTAGGTACATATTATTCAATTGCCTACAACAGTATAGTGGTAAGGGGCTGCAGATCAGGTGGTCCAGGATCGGGCCAAGATTAGTTATTGAGTAGTTTTGTCAAGAAATTCTCAGTAACAGTCCGGTGTTGGGAAGTTGGCTATGTTCCTGAGCTTCGAAGAGCACTTGAAGCCTTCGGTCCTTCGCCTGATCTCTCATCGCGGTTCCACCGTAGTAAGAGATTGATAGGAATAGAGACTGCACTTGTGTTGGCGCGCATAAGTGTACTATAATATCCTCGGCGCAGTGGACTAATGTCATTGCGATTAGCAGCCGTGACCGAAATTGGTAAAGAAGATATCCTCATCACCTATCATTAAATATTTCCATCTGGATACATTCATTAAAAAATCTAAAAGTTAATAGAAACATTATTTTAAGGCTTATATTACGAATATATGAGACCTAAAAAACTAACTTTAAAACAAACAGCAGATTTATTAAAATAAAAGACGACGTGTACGTCATAAGCATTAGGATGGTTTCATTGGATGACATCCAAAAGGGTTAACTTAGCAGTTAGAATAAAATTCTATGTCGTATATAAAATATAAACATATTTGCTTTGAATCAAGCCTCGATGTCGGCAAATTTAGTCCATTAGAATGAACGTGGCTAGATTTATGTGTTGACGAGTCCCAAAAGAGCGAACTGGCATATTGCCATACAGTTGACCCGCGGAAGAGGTCAATGCACACTGTGAATTTTTGAGCGGTTTATTGTTTACAGGTAAAAAATAACTGAAAATATTTACAGTTTAACATGCCACTGCTGGGCACAAGTCTTTTTTCAACACTGGCTAATGCGGTTTCGTGAACTCACAGGCTATTCTAATACTAATTAAATTCTTTTCGATATAGAGATATTCTTATGTTATTCGATTTAGTTCAATTTTAAAACAACATTTTCTCAAAATAATCTACGCAAGATCCGGTTTTGAACTCGCCAAGGAAGACTACTTACTCCATAAGCCAAAAATAGGGTCAATAGTAATATTTGTTTGAATCCCATTAATATTATAAATGCGAATGCATCATAAAGTGGATGCAGTCTAAATTAAAATGCACGCCAATAACTCATATTTATTAATCAATCCCACGGGAACCGTACATTTTTACGGGATATAAAAGTAGCCTATGTGCTATTCTAGACTATAATCTATCTGTGTGCCAAATTTCATCCAGACCTGTTCAGCCGTTATGGTGTGATTGAGTAACAAACATCCATCCAAACATCTAAACTTTAGCATTTATAATATTAGTAACAAGTAGGATAATTATAGCAAAATAAGAAGTCTATTAAAATTTATTGATAAAGTTCACCACACCTCATAATTTCATATTAAATGTGCAACTGAAAATATGAACAGAGGAGAATATAAATCGCTCTGTTAGTTCTAAACATTGTTTGTAGGCGGGTAATAATTTTGAGGGACAGGTTCATTCATATGGGGAATGCTACGCATTGATAGCATTTCGTACTCAAAATGAAATATTTGCTGACAGCTTTATAGTTAAAACTTTTGTTTCTTTTTCATAACATAATTTATGTTATTATTCATATTGTGAGTGATGTTTTTGTGGTGACAGTGACATTGTATGTATGTATTCAGCCCTTTTTAACGTCCCACTGCTGGGCACGGGCCTCCCTTCAATACGAGGGGTACCAGGCCAAAGTCCACCACGTTGGCCAAGTGCGGGTTGGCGGACTTCACGTGTCTTTTGAAAACTTGCTAGGTTCTCTCAGACATGCAGGTTTCCTCACGTTGTTTTCTTTCACCGTAAGACAAGTGATAATCATGTTAGAAAGTGATATTATATTTAATAATTCAAATCTTTACAAAAAAAGAAATCGTGTATTTTATGATTTTTCTATTCATTGTGATTTAAAATAAAGGAAAAATACCCATATTCCTAAAAAAGTTTGCTTTTGTGGTAGTTATGTTAATTAGGTAAAACATTTTCTTGAGTTATATTTAAAACAAAGTATTCAATAGTTCTGATGTCTTCAAAAATACCGCTAATTCATTCAATTCAGAAGAACAGGGAAAATGGTTTCATCAAGATATCATGGACTTCGAACACCGTTATAAGGGCCAATACAAGGAAAATATGATGGGGGACTATATTTGGGGCTTAGTGAGAGAAAGTAGCTACTTATAAATATGAAAGAAAAAGTAATAAGGTTCACTTTTAAACTTATTTGTTATTATTTTGTATTTTTTTTTATTGATACGATATTAAAAGTTGATAACAATTTATATATATGTCGTGTTATCCATATAGGTAGTACGAACATCATCTTTACAGGTTATTATTCTTGTGGGCGTTATCAGGGCTCAAATAATAAAGTATTCAATACTAAATACACAATTTAATCAGGGAAATTACAATGTTATAAACTTGAAAGGGTAATTCTTATAATTTAATACTTTCTTAGATTTACGCGAATATTTGATTTCTTATAATTTAGTAGAGCCAGCGGGTTCAAAGTCGCCGATCATCGACTTCCAACTATAATATTAAAACATGACTCTCTATGATCCACCAAGATCAACCAACTTTACTAAACCACGTATCTGCAATGAATGTCTTATGATGGCGTCTCGACCCCGCTCGAGACGTAGTCTCTGCTCTAAATTCAAAATAACTTTAAAAGAAATAAAAAGTAAATAGTGACTTTAAACAATAATAAAGTTTCATAGCAGAAAATGATAACAATTTATATATATGTCGTGTTATCCATATAGGTAGTACGAACATCATCTTTACAGGTTATTATTCTTGTGGGCGTTATCAGGGCTCAAATAATAAAGTATTCAATACTAAATACACAATTTAATCAGGGAAATTACAATGTTATAAACTTGAAAGGGTAATTCTTATAATTTAATACTTTCTTAGATTTACGCGAATATTTGATTTCTTATAATTTAGTAGAGCCAGCGGGTTCAAAGTCGCCGATCATCGACTTCCAACTATAATATTAAAACATGACTCTCTATGATCCACCAAGATCAACCAACTTTACTAAACCACGTATCTGCAATGAATGTCTTATGATGGCGTCTCGACCCCGCTCGAGACGTAGTCTCTGCTCTAAATTCAAAATAACTTTAAAAGAAATAAAAAGTAAATAGTGACTTTAAACAATAATAAAGTTTCATAGCAGAAAATGATAACAATTTATATATATGTCGTGTTATCCATATAGGTAGTACGAACATCATCTTTACAGGTTATTATTCTTGTGGGCGTTATCAGGGCTCAAATAATAAAGTATTCAATACTAAATACACAATTTAATCAGGGAAATTACAATGTTATGAACTTGAAACGGTAATTCTTATAATTTAATACTTTCTTAGATTTACGCGAATATTTGATTTCTTATAATTTAGTAGAGCCAGCGGGTTCACAGTCGCCGATCATCGACTTCCAACTATAATATCAAAACAAAACTCTCTATGATCCACCAAGATCAACCAACTTAACTAAGCCACGTATCTGCAATGAATGTCTTATGATGGCGTCTCGACCCCGCTCGAGACGTAGTCTCTACTCTAAATTCAAAATAACTTTAAAAGAAATAAAAAGTAAATAGTGACTTTACACAATAATAAAGTTTCATAGCAGAAAATGGTAACTAAATCTTCCTCGGTCAAATTTTAACGATGGATTTTCTAAAATATTGACCAACCGTTCTCCTTGATACAGAAGCAAACTTTTTCAGGCCATATATATTTTTTTGTCTAATTTATCGATAAATCTATCTAAAATTTATACTCTCTTATCAAAATCCAAATTCGTCTTGACCTTTGTAATGCAATGTAATTTTGAAATGATCGACTTCTTTAACTTTCTATGACTTAAGAACAAAACAAACTCTTTTATGATTTTCATTCGGTGATTTTTAAGAAAGTGTAATTACATTTGTAAACGATAACAAAATTTATTACAGCTTATAAATATCGGCTTAGTTTTTATACGTAATATATACGTACGTACCATTTATTTATAGGTTTTCGTTTAACGGCAATGTACATAAAAGAAAAATCATACTTAACACACTTTTAATTAACGTAAAAATACAAAATTAACTATTTCATCTCAAAAAGTCACAAAAAAGGTAAAAAATTTAGGAGTACATCTCCCGGTTTGTGTTGTTTGTTGATTAGGAGTTTTTTTTTCTTTAACGCTAAGTTTAAGGGGACAACTTGTTCGGGGAACTTCAAGCCTCGTTCTCTCCTAATTAAATTAATAACACTGACAGTAAATTTTAGCTTCACTTATATTACAGAGCTTTAATTCAACGAATTCAGATTCTAAATAATAAATTCTAAGAAAGAGAAAATCCCTTCTCAATCACCTCAGGAGTTATTTGAATGACAAGTGAGTTCCAGTTCAAAGTCTACTTATTTGTCATGCCAAATTTACTGACTGAATAAGCTGTAAAATATTTAAATTCATAGGCTTTATGTGTATAACAACTTTCTTTCTAGGAACATATAGATTAAATTTTTTATTAATGTAAAACTATTTGATTTAAATATATATATATATATATATATATATATATATATATATATATCACTTTATTACGTAAATTAAAAATGTCACATCGTCAATGTACCTACTTCAAATATGTTAAAATCTAAATTTCATTAGGAATTGTACCTACTAGGTACATATGTCATTGCTTTGTTAAAGAGTAAATTTCACTAAAAGAAATCATGTTTTAAACTTAACATAGTATAGATATGGATTAACTTTTTTATAAATTCGCGTAATTAATATTCAATTAGCTTTCCAATTCATAACACTCCTAATGGCTAGCACATACAATTATTATTTGGATATATTTTTATATCACTGAATGTGATGTGAATTCAGCCAAAAGGTACGTTAGAAATCCAATACGTTTTTATTCCGTAGATAAATATGGAATAAGTATTTTGAAAGATCTTATGTATTCGATAGCACATATGTATGTGCATGTTTGAACAGGATAGCGTTGAGGGCTTAGTATGAAAACATCAAAGGGCAAGTTGATCCCTTTTAAGATGATAGTAGGAAAATGTTACTTATTTCTTCTAGTGGAAATGAAGGTTATATTTAAAGAATATATTTTTACAGTAGTTTTACTATAATATTAGATATGTTTTTTTTATAAAAATACCCCTAAGTCGAAATTATATCTTTAACTGTACCATTTACTGTAAAAACCCTTGGCTCACGAAGTCAAAATGCTAAACACTTCTTAAAAGAAATACGACTCGTTTTTTGCCCAAAAAATCGGCATTGCCGT